AATTCTGACACCACCAAGAATCAGCACAGACCCTGATTCAGGGCTTAGTCCCATAACGTTGTCCTCACTGCAGATGCCAGCCACAAACTCTGTAAGTCCATCTATGCTTCTGAGATACTGTTTAAAAATTAAGGACTTCCATAATGTTTCTGAAATTTACCAATTTGATAGTTACTCACAGAACTCAGCAGAACACTGTAGTTATATTTACCATTTTTATACAAAAGATACAATCCCAGCCAGGCGAAATGGCTCATGCCTGTAATCCCAGCCCTTTGGGAGGCAGAGTTGGGCAGATTACCTGAGGTCAGAGTTCGAGACCACCCTGACCAATATGGAGCAACCCTGTCTCTACTAAAAATACAGAATTAGCAGGGCATAATGGCGCGTGCTTGTAATCCCAGCTACTCAGTAGGCTGAGGCAGAAGAATTGCTTGAACCTGGGAGGCAGAGGTTGTGGTGAGCCCAGATTCTGTCATTACACTCCAGCCTAAGCAACAAGAGCAAAACTAACATCTGAAAAAAGAAAAAAAAAAAAGATACAACCCCCAAAAAGTAAGTATAGGACCAAGAAAAAGGTGAGAAAAGATGAAGCACATAGATGATAAACAGCTGTGATTAATAAAATATTCTTTGTGTTCTCCAGGAACACCTTATGAAAAGAAAAAACCCTTTCCATTATGATTTAAATGGTGCTTTCTTTTCTTACCTATCACACAGCCAGAAAAATGATTCCACATTTTCTCCTTTTTCTCATTCAAAAATCAGCGACTTTGTCTTCAGTGGTCAACATAAAATACTTTTTTTTTTTTTTTTTTTTTTAGACGGAGTTTCGCTCTTGTTACCCAGGCCGGAGTGCAATGGCGCGATCTCGGCTCACCGCAACCTCTGCCTCCTGGGTTCAGGCAATTCTCCTGCCTCAGCCTCCCGAGTAGCTGGGATTACAGGCACGCGCCACCATGCCCAGCTAATTTTTTGTATTTTTAGTAGAGACGGGGTTTCACCATGTTGACCAGGATGGTCTCGATCTCTCGACCTCGTGATCCACCCGCCTCGGCCTCCCAAAGTGCTGGGATTACAGGCTTGAGCCACCGCGTCCAGCCACAAAATACTTCTTAATCAAACTGAACTCAAGTTTATTTTCTTCCTACAGGCTCCTGAGCTTTGAGCTCAGTCTGAGCCACCATACAACCGCATTTTATGTCCCTCCTAAGAACATGCCGACTTCAGGGTAAAGCATTCTCTGATCTAAATTCTGATTTTATTACCCTCCAATTAAACATTTAAACATTCCCCTCCAACCTCCTTACTAATCTTGTTTGCTTTTCCCTAGAAAAAAAATAGCCCTTTTCTGCCTAATCTTTGCAATCTTTAAAAATCTTACATTTGCTGCTTCCTCCTGTTGCAATACACCTTTGAAATTCAATTTTTTAAATGTATCTGTTTTATTTTAAAAAGTCAAGAAACTATCTTTAAAAAATATCAACTTTATCTGCAATAAGACCTTCCCGCCGGGCACGGTGGCTCAAGCCTGTAATCCCAGCACTTTGGGAGGCCAAGGCGGGTGGATCACGAGGTCAATAGATTGAAACCATCCTGGTCAACATAGTGAAACCCTGTCTCTACTAAAAATACGAAATATTAGCTGGGCATGGTGGCACGTGCCTGTAATCCCAGCTACTCAGGAGGCTGAGGCAGGAGAATTGCCTGAACCCAAGGAGGCGGGAGTTGCGGTGAGCCGAGATCGCGCCATTGCACTCCAGCCTGGGTAATAAGAGCGAAACTCCATCAAAAAAAAAAAAAAAAAAAAAAGACCTTCCCAAAATTCCTCAAACAAAGTCTTCACATAAGGGGAGAAAATTTTAAAGTGCTTACATTTTATACCTGAGTAAGAAAAGAAAAAGTATTTATTTCTTTCAAACAATAAATGTATTACTTTATTATTTGTATTAAAAAATATGTAGTAAACAATTAGCCAGACACAGTGGTTTACACCTGTAATTACACGTTGGGAAGCCGAGGTAGGCGGATTGCCTGAGGTCAGGGGTTCAAGACCAGCCTAGCCAACATGGCAAAACCCTGTCTCTACTAAAAAGACGAAAATTAGCCAGGCGTAGTGGCAGATGCCTGTAATCCGTACTCGGGAGGCTGTGGCAGGAGACGCTTGAATCCAGGAGCTGGAGGCTGCAGTGATCCGAGATCACATCATTGTACTCCAGCCTGGGCAACGGGTGACTCCGTCTCAAACAATAAATAAATAAAATAAAATAAAATTTAGCATTAAGCTCAAAAATCAAAATAACAGGATATAGGGCCAGGCTTGGTGGCTCACAAACCTGTAATCCCAGTACTTTGAGAGGCCAAGGTGGTGGAATCACTTAGGTTAGGAGTTCAAGACAAGCCTGGCCAACATGGTGAAACCCCATCTCTACTAAAAATACAAAAATTAGTCGGGTGTGGTGATATGTGCCTGTAGTCCCAGCTACTCAGGGGACTAAGGCAGGAGAATCACTTGAACCTGGGAAGTGATAGTTACAATGAGCTGAGATTGCACCATTGTACTCCAGTCTGGGCATCACAGTGAGACTCCATCTCAAAAACAAACAAACAAACAAACAAAAACCAGGATATTAAAACAAAGATATTCATTGCCACAAGTTTACCTGGCTAAAAAAAAAGAACTGAAGTTTTCAGAAATCTATGTAACTCACCAATTATCTACCACGTTTTTTGTAGAAATGTATTCATTTTCTACAGCTGAAATTGCATAGAAATTTTCTTTATTATTTTCCTTGGTAGCTAACGTTCTAAAAGCTAGATGGAATTCTGTTTGAAATCACTGAGTCATAAAAAATACACCAGAGGCCAGGCGCAGTGGCTCACGCCTGTAATCTCCGCACTTTGGGAGGCCTAGGCAGACGGATCATGAGGTCAAGAGATCGGGACCATCCTGGCCAACATGGTGAAACCACGTCTCTACTAAAAATACAAAAATTAGCTGGACGTGGTGGCACGCACCTGTAATCCCAGCTACTCAGGAGGCTGAGGCAGGAGAATTGCTTGCACCCGGGAGGTGGAGGTTGCAGTGAGCTGAGATTGCGCCACTGCCCTCCAGACTGGCGCCTGGCGATCAAGCAAGACTGTCTCAAAAAAACAAAACAAACAAAAAAAAAACACCAGAGAAAATTTCTAAATTCACGCTGAGAAAGAAAAATGTAAATAAAAATTTTCAACAAATAAATATATTATTAGATATTAATGTTTTGTAACGTATTTTACGCCCTTTGGAAATATTTTCTTGCCTTTCAATCTCTACTAATTAAATGCAAAATACAGTTAAAAAACTGAGGTCCACCGGGCACAGTGGCTCACACCTGTAATCTCAGCACTTTGGAAGACTCACGCAGGTGAGTCACTTAAGGTCAGAATTTTGAGACCAGCCTGGCTAACATGGCAAAACCCTGTCTCTACTAAAAATACAAAAACTAGCTGGGTATGGTGGTTCACACCTGTAGTCCCAGCTACTTGGGAGGCTGAGGCATGAGAAACACATAAACTCAGGATTTGGAGGCTGCAGTGAGTCGAGATGCCACCACTGCACTCCAGCCTGGTGGCAGAGATTAACTGTGTCAAAAAAAAAAAAAAAAAGAAAAAGAAACTTTAGGTAAAAATAAGTGAACAAATCTTTTCAAGGTACAGATATGTCTTTTTTTTTTTTTGAGAAGGAGTTTCACTCTTGTTACCCAGGCTGGAGTGCAATGGCAGGATCTCGGCTCACAGCAACCTCCTCCTTCTGGGTTCAGGCAATTATCCTGCCTCAGCCTCCAGAGTAGCTGGGATTACAGGCACACGCCACCATGCCCAGCTAATGTTTTGTATTTTCAGTAGAGATGGGGTTTCACCATGTTGACCAGGACGGTCTCGATCTCCTGACCTTGTGATCCACCCGCCAGACAATTAGACTGAGGTGGCTCTAGTCCCGGATTTCAATTTCTTTAAAAAAAAAAAAAAACTAAATTCAAGAGCATGTTTTTGGTAAATTACTACATTGCTGGAACAAAATTCAGGCTTATCTAAACTGTCAATTAAGCTCTGATTACACAACCAGGGTATTGCCACCTAGATTGTAAAAATCAAGAAACTAGGCCAAGCGTGGTGGCTCATTCCTATAATCCCAGCACTTTGGGAGGCCAAGGTGGGTGGATCACCTGAGATACGGAGTTCGCAACCAGACTGGCCAACATGGTGAAACCCCGTCCCTACTAAAAATAAAAAAAATATTGGCTGGGTGTGGTGACCGCTGCCTGTAGTTGCAGCTACTGGAAAGCTGAGGGACTGAGAATCGCTTGAACCCGGGAAGCAGAGGATGCGATGAGCCGGTATCACACCACTGCACTCCAGCATGAGCAACAGAGTGAGACTGTCTGGGGTGCGGGGTTGGGGGGGATTACATAACTATACCTCGCCAATTATTGAATTTGATTTTCTTTATCCTGAACCTTACAAAAATCTTTCCATCAAGTCCCTTCCATGGACCACAAATTACAAACTACAGCTGGGTGCTCTACAATTTCTGAATCACTCTTTAATTATATAATATTTTCACGGTGACGCCCGTAAATTTTTAATAGGAAAAAAGCAAGCCTGGGAACTCCATGCACCTAAGCTCTTCCCATTCATGAACCCGCAAGCCGAGTCAGGATTTCGTCCTGAGGATCCTCCAGTGATCCCTGCATAATCCGAGAGAGGGAGCCTGCTGGTGCAGAGCTGCCCAGAGAAGGCTCCAGGCCAGGGCACAGTCGCCGGGCAGGGAAAAGACAGGACGCCCGGCAGCCGCCATCTTATGGCTGAAGGGGACTGAAGCCCAGCTGCGCAAGGAGAACTAGAGGCACAGATTGTGGAGCTGACAGCGGGGAGGCCTGAGCCCCGCCACAGCCACTTCCCACTGGTTCCAATCAGCCCCAACCCCTCTGTCGGAATGTCGGACCCAGCACTCTCACCATTTCTAGGCTTTCACGGGGTCCTGGCGTCTTAGCTGTGGATCTCCAATACCTGCAGGTCACAGGGTCACAGAGGCTCGGCCTCTAAAAGGAGAGGGCAGAGACCAGGGAAGAAGAGACATGGAGCTCCAGCCGCAGCATGAGACAAAGACCCCGCCATATCCCGGAAGCCGCCCTGTCCGCTCCCGCTGTGTGCCTGATTGGACAGTTCCCAGACCAGCGTCCTTGATTGGATAACATTTAAGACCCCGCCTTCTCTGACCCTGAGTGACAGAAGACGTGGTCAGACGCTGAGCTGAATAAAGAACGAGTGACAACCTAAGCTGCAGCGTTTTCAGGCAGGGCTTCCTTCTTGAGCTGAGCCAGGCCCAAGGCAGAGCATGGGAAAATTCGGTCTCTTTTTTGCTCTCTTTTTCAATTTATTCAAAATGTGAACAAAACTATTTTATGTATATTAATACGTAAAATTTTTGTTCAAAAGAAAATCAACATTCACTTTGGTAATAGTGCATTATCAATACTGGAGCTAATTTGATAAAACGTTATAAGTAAATTCATCAGCCGGGCACGGTGCCTCCCATCTTTAATCCCAGCAATCTGGGAGGCCGAGGCGGGGAGCGGGGGATAACGAGATCAGGAAATTCGAGACCAGCCTGCTAACATGGTGAAACCCCTGCTCTTAGCTGGGCGTGGCGGCAGGTGCCTGTAATCCCAGCTACTAGAGAGGCTGAGGCAGAGAACTGCATGAACCCAGGAGGCAGAGGTTGCAGTCCCCCCACCCAAAAAAAAAAAAAAAAAAAAAAGCAAAAAGCAGCTGGGCAGCCAGGTGCAGTGGCTAGCAGCCAGGTGCAGTGGCTAACGCCTGTAATCCTAGCACTTTAGGAGGCCAAGGCAGGAAGATCACCTGAAGTCAGAAGTTCGAGACCAGCCTGACCAACATGGAGAAACCCCATCTCTACCAAAAACACAAACTTAGCTGAGCATGGTGGCCGGTGCCTGTAATCCCAGCTACTTGGGAGGTTGAAGCAGGAGAACTGCTTGAACCTGGGAGGCGGAGGTTGCAGTGAGCCTATATCACAGCATTACACTCCAGCCTGGGCAACAAGAGTGAAATTCCGTCTCAAAAAAGAAGAAGAAGAAAGAAAGAAAGAAGAAAGAAGAAAGAAGAGGCCGGGCGCGGTGGCTCAAGCCTGTAATCCCAGCACTTTGGGAGGCCGAAGCGGGTGGATCACGAGGTCGACAGATCGGGACTATCCTGGTCAACATGGTGAAACCCCGTCTCTACTAAAAATACAAAAAAAATTAGCTGGGCATGGTGGCGTGTGCCTGTAATCCCAGCTACTCAGGAGGCTGAGGCAGGAGAATTGCTTGAACCCAGGAGGCGGAGGTTGCGGTGAGCCGAGATCGTGCCATTGCACTCCAGCCTGGGTAACAAGAGCAAAAACTCCGTCTCAAAAAAAAAAAAAAAAAAAGAAGGAAGAAGGAAGAAGAAAAGAAGAAGAAGAAGAACAAGGAGAAGAAGAAGAAGGAGAAGAAGAAAAGAAAGAAAACAAATTAGCTGGGCATAATGGCTCACCAGTAATCCCAGCTACTCAAGAGGCTGAGGCAGGAGAATAGCTTGAACCCAGGAAGCTGAGGTTGCAGTGAGTCGAGATTGTGCCACTGAACCCCAGCCAAAGCGACACAGGGAGGCTCTGTTTCAAAAAAATTAAAATTAAAAAAAGGTCCACCAAATTTGTCCTTATATCACTGCTCTAGATTTTTAGGATATTTTATGACCTCTTAAATTTTTTAACTTTTTTTTTTTTTTTTTTTTTGAGAAGGAGTCCTGCTCTGTTGCCCAGGCTGAAGTGGAGTGGCCTGAACTCGACTCACTGCAATCTCTGCTTCCTGGGTTCAAGCGATCTTCTTGCCTCAGCCTTCGGAATAGCTAGGATTACAGGCGTGCACCACCAGGCCCGGCTAATTTTTTTGTATTTTTAGTAGACATGGGGTTTAACATTCGCCAAGCTGGTCTCAAATCCCCGGCTTCAGGTGATCGGGCTCCATCGACCTCAGCCTTCCAAAGTACTGGGGTTACAGGCGTGAGCCACCGCGTCCGGCCGTTTTTTAAGTTTTTGTATTTTATTTTAATCTACATTATTTATATTTTTTCAATTTAAAGCAACCTTTCAATAATTTCAAAGTAGAAAAAATATTTCTAACTTACTTCATCAAAAGCATATTTGGCTTTTATTTATAAACTCTTTTTTGTTTCTTTGTTTTCTGAGAGAGACTTGTTCTATCATCCAGGCTGATGTGTGTCATCTCAGCACACTGCAACCTCCACCTCCAGGTTCAACTGATTCCTCAGCCTCAGCCTCTGAAATAGCTGGGATAAAGGTATGCACCATCATACCTGGTTTATCTTTTTTTTTTTTTTTTTTTTTTTTGAGACGGAGTTTTGCTCTTGTTTCCCAGGCTGGAGTGCAATGGCGCGATCTCGGCTCACCGCAACCTCCGCCTCCTGGGTTCAGGCAATTCTCCTGTCTCAGCCTCCTGAGTAGCTGGGATTACAGGAACGCGCCACCATGCCCAGCTAATTTTTTGTATTTTTAGTAGACACAGGGTTTCACCATGTTGAGCAGGATGGCCTCGATATCTTGACCTCGTGGTCCACCCGCCTTGGCCTCCCAAAGTGCTGGGATTACAGGCGTGAGCCACCACACCAGGCCCTACCTGGTTTATTTATATATTTTAAGTAAAGACTGGAATTTGCCGTGTTGCTCAGGCTTGTCTTGAACTTCTTTTTATGTTTGTTTTTTAACTTTTTCCAGTAATGGGTATAAGCAATGTCTTGAACTTCTAAACTCAAAATAATGTGCCTGCCTCAGACTCCCAAAGTGTTGGGATTACAGACATAAGCCTCGCCTGGCCTTTGTTTACATACTGTCTAAAAGAACTGGTTGCCGGGTGCGGTGGCTCAAGCCTGTAATCCCAGCACTTTGGGAGGCCAAGGCGGGTGAATCACGAGGTCAAGAGACCGAGACCATCCTGGTCAACATGGTGAAACCCCGTGTCTACCAAAAATACAAAACATTAGCTGGGCATGGTGGTGCATGTCTGTAATCCCAGCTACTCAGGAGGCTGAGACAGGAGAATTGCCTGAACCCAGGAAGTGGAGGTTTCGGTCAGCGGAGATTGCGCCATTGCACTCCAGCCTGGGTAACAAGAGTGAAACTCCATCTCAAAAAAAAAAAAAAAAAAAAAAAAAAAAAGAACCGGTTAATTACATTAACCCTTAACAAACTAATTTTTAGTGAAATTCCTAGGAATTAATTTCGCACTGTTTTGTGTCAATATTTGTAGATAAAAAACATTGTATGTTTTTTAATAAAGATTTTTTTCAATTTTTTAACTGACAGATCTAAATATAGTTAGCATTTCTTTATAATATTATCACAATATTAATTTTTTAAAAAGATTCTGGGCCGGGCATGGTGGCTCGCCCCTGTAATCCCAGCACTTTGGGAGGCCAAGGCAAGCAAGTCATGAGATCAGGAGTTCGAGACCAGCCTGGCCAATATGGTAATATCCCTTTTCTTCTAAAAAATACAAAAATTAGCTGGACATGGCGGTGGGCATCTGTAGTCCCTGGTACTCAGGAGGCTGTGGCAGGAGAATAGCTGAGGCAGAGGTTACAGTGAGCCGAGATTATGCCACTTCCCTCCAGCCTGGGTGACAGAGTGAGACTCCACCTCAAAAAAAAAAAAAAAAAAAAAAAAAAAAAAAAGCGCCGGGCGCGGTGGCTCAAGCCTGTAATCCCAGCACTTTGGGAGGCCGAGGCGGGTGGATCACGAGGTCGAGAGATCGAGACCATCCTGGTCAACATGGTGAAACCCCGTCTCTACTAAAAATACAAAAATTAGCTGGGCATGGTGGCGCGTGCCTGTAATCCCAGCTACTCAGGAGGCTGAGGCAGGAGAATTGCTTGAACCCAGGGGGCGGAGGTTGCGGTGAGCCGAGATCGTGCCATTGCACTCCAGCCTGGGTAACAAGAGCGAAACCCCGTCTCAAAAAAAAAAAAAAAAAAAAAAAAAAAAAAAAAAAAAAAAAAAAAAGATTCTGGTCAGGCCTTGTGGCTCAGGCTTATAATCCCAACACTTTGGGAGGTCAAGAAATGAAGACTGGCCGGGCGCGGTGGCTCAAGCCTGTAATCCCAGCACTTTGGGAGGCCGAGGCGGGTGGATCACGAGGTCAAGAGATCAAGACCATCCTGGTCAGCAAGGTGAAACCCCGTCTCTACTAAAAATACAAAAAGTTAGCTGGGCATGGTGGTGCGTGCCTGTAATCCCAGCTACTCAGGAGGCTGAGGCAGGAGAATTGCCTGAACCCAGGAGGCGGAGGTTGCGGTGAGCCGAGATCGCGCCATTGCACTCCAGCCTGGGTAACAAGAGCGAAACTCCGCCTCAAAAAAAAAAAAAAAAAAAAGAAAAGAAATGAAGACTATAAGCTCAGGAATTTGAGATCAGCCTGGGCAACATGGCTAAAACAAGTGTCTAAAAAAATACAAAAATTAACTGTGAGCATGGTGGCCTGTACCTTTAATACCAGCTATTTAGGAGGTTGAGGGAGGAGGGTTTCCTGAGCTCAGGAAGTGGACACTGCAGTGAACCTTGATCAAGCCACTGCACTCTATTCTGGGTGACAGAATGAGACCCTTTCTAAAACAAAACCAACCAAACAAAAACAGCCAAAGCACAGAAAGTTAAACTTATGAAGGTTTGGTTTTTTTGTTATTATTTCTAAGGTTTTTTTTTTTTTTTTTTTTTTTTTTTTGAGACGGAGTTTTCGCTCATGTTACCCAGGCTGGAGTACAATGGCACGATCTCGGCTCACCGCAACCTCGGACTCCTGGGTTCAGGCAATTCTCCTGCCTCAGCCTCCTAAGCAGCTGCGATTACAGGCACGCGCCACCACGCCCAGCTAGTTTTTTGTATTTTTAGTAGAGACGGGGTTTCACCATGTTGACCAGAATGGTCTCGATCTCCCGACCTCGTGATCCACCCGCCTCGGTCTCCCAAAGTGCTGGGATTACAGGCTTGAGCCACCGTGCCCGGCTATTATTTCTAATGTTCTTAAGGTACAGTTGATGTTTGGTTACATGGATAAG